AGTTAATTTGCCGCATAGAACCTCGTTGCGGGCTCCCAAATTGGCACTACTTTGCTGACGTCTTATTGGCTGCGTTATATGATGTGACTGCTAAAAACGTTCGCAGGATCTTTACAAGTAACCTCATCAACATCAGTTTCACTACAGATCTCTGGAGGGCAAACGTGTGCTCATTATTGGTGATATCAGATAAAAAACATATATCAGTTGTTGTTATTGGTCAAAATGCCCACTTTGGTGCACCACTAGTATAACAAAGGTCAGGATACATGGGGGAGCCTTGGGTCAGATGTAATCTTTTCAACTCTTGTCAAATATAGAAATGAAAGTCCTGTCATTCTAATACTCAGGCTCAGGCTGCTGGGACAGCTTCTGAAGGCTGCGTTCTCCACGACACCAGCTTGGAAAAGACCCCTGTGGCTAAGCCAACTGATAAAGATGGACTGGTGATTCCAAGGAAGGCCACCGTTGAAAATAACTCCATGATAAGAACGTACCTGACTAGCCATTTGAGAGTTTGCCATCTTGTATTGTGCAGCTGTACCCCCTTCCTGGGCATATTCCTGTGCTCTGCATGGCTGGGTGCTCAGGCCTGTTTGGGCCCTGCTGGGTGGGCACATATCTGTAGAATTTGAGATGCAGTTGCACTTTTATGTTCTCAGGAAACTGCCTCAGTAGTTTTTCACATTTTACCTGGAGCAGCTTTCTGGTGGACTGCTGAAGCTGGTGGTGAAGGGGCAACACACACACACACACACACACACCCACACACCAAAACCAAAGCTGTTACATAGCTGTATCATGCCCTGTGTCGTAACAATAGGCTGATTACTTCTGTTGCCTGAAAGGAGAAATACCTCTCACTGTATGGCTGCTCCGTTGAAGTTAAAAGTATTTAAGTATTTTCTGAACTCGCCCAAGTTTTATCCTGAGGGCAAAATTCAGGAATCATGGCTTATCCTCACTGAATCTATAGCTAGGCTTGGGTGGTATTGCAGTATCATGGGGTCTCACCTTATTTAGCGTATACTATGATATTTTTGGAATACAGTGGTATTTTGTAATCTTGACAATAAAATTAGCCCCTCCCACTTGGTGAATTTTACTATGGGGGTCCTTGCTTGGTAAATACCCGTGGTATAATGTGTGGACGGTAAGAATAATGGGATACTTGCTTAAATCACCTTTCTTTCCCATTCTGACATTCAGTTTGGAGTTCAGGAGATTGTCTTGACCAGGACCACACC